CTAGATGTTTTTAAGGTCCCTTCCATCCCAAACCATTCTATAATTCTATGAAATATTTTCTTTCAGTGTTTTCCTGAGAGGGGTGTATGTGTTTGAATTTTAACTAAATCTAAATCAAGGCTAAATGCAGATTTAGGAGGTCAATTTTAGGATGCATCTAGCTAAAAAAAAAATTACTGTTATGTCTAAGATAAAAATAAATAAAATGAAAATATTATGTATGGTTACACTGTCCTCAGACAGATATTTATTTATTTGAATGCAGAACAGTACATTTTTGAAGAGTAGTTGCAGGTAAAATTCTTCATATCTTTAAATGAAGATACGTATAAATGTTATAAATAATAAGCAGAGAGACCCAGGGTATTTTCCCTAATATTGAGGGAATAGAAAAAAAAATACTGAACTGTTTGGTTTTTTTCTTTCTACTTTGGAATAAAAATCTCTTTTATAGTATGTGCACATCAAGGTTTATAATTTTTATCTCTTGACTAAAAATATAAATATATATAAAAATAAGAAAGGGTTTATTTAGTCTTTACTACAAGAATTGTTTACTTTACACTTTTCAAAGCTGTATATTTTATGGGTTGTTCAGTAAATTCTAAGTCCTATACCTATCATTTCAGGTGTTTAAACAATACATTTATGATGGTCTCCTTTTGAAAAATAAATTATGATTCTATAATTGTAGAAATATTTTTTTTCCTCTTCCATTATCTCCTCATGCAGCCTGTGTGATTTCACATTCCATTCTTCTGACCCCATATTTCCCAGAAGATCTCTACGTATTATTTTTATTAGATGAAAATAGAATTCCGGATACATTTTCTATATGTCTGCTATTAATGTGATTGGGAAGGGACTCTATGAGCTTTTAAAATTTATTTACTTGTGTGTGTTCCTATGCTGGAGTGCCTTGTCATGTGCAAGTCAAGTGGCAGGGTGAGTCACTGTGGTGTCACGTCCCATTACGGTCAGCCTCTCCCATCTTACTCAGCTCTTTGGTGGTGTATGGTCACTGCTAATGAGTCATCTCTCCCAACTTCACTGACAAATTCCTGTTTATTTCTGAAAAGTTTGTTACTGGGGCAGATACAGAGCAAATTGGGATGGAATATTTGCTAGGATGCATGCCATAACTGAGAGCTGCTAGCTCAGCACTGGCAGCAGAACTTTTGTGTGCGGTGCAGTTCAAAATACGCTTCTAGGACTGACACTTAAAACTTCTTTTAATCGCTACATAATGAGTTTTTATACTTGAAATTAGTCAAGTAACATTTTTTTCAGGCGACTCTCAGAACAGAGCTGCACTTTTGTAGGCATTAGGGAATTTTTAAGACTAGGAAGAGATGATGAATGTCTTGCTTGGCATGCTACATGAGACAATAGAAGAACCTCCACTTATAATTCCTGCAACCATCTATTTGATCTGCGCTGTATTATCTGCAATGATTACTCTCTGCTTACACCAATTTAGAAACATAACAAGACAGAAGCAGAAGTAACTGTTGCAAATGTGGAATATATAAGATTTTCTTAAGAAAGGATGTTCTTTGATGTTTTCTCTTTTTATACTTTCAAGCCTAAATAGCAAGAAGGGGGATTTGATGTGTGAAACAGAGAGCTGCCAACAAGCTCCAAGTGATGCCTAGGTGTTAGAAAGCCAAATTATTTGTTGGTAGAATTGCCATATTAAGGTTTAAGGCTTGACATGCGTCAGTGATCTCAGTGGGTTACCAAAGCTTGGGAAGAAGGGTAGTGGACACATATAATGCAGAATTTACAAGCCACGAGGACATTTGGCAGAACTCTCAAGATAAAGAAGAAACTAATAAAACAAGCCCAGCAACTGTGCTGAATCGGCTCCGGCTGGGTGAGAGGTGTTTCCAGCAGGGGGAGGTCAGGACCAGACTCACGGATCACCGACCCAGAAAACCACCGGCTCAAAAGAAGTGAGAGAGGGCCCATGGGCTGCTTAGCATAAAAAGTGAGAGAATCATTGTCCAGTGGAAGATAGAATACTGATTAATAAGAGGGCTATGCAACTTGTAGTCATTAAATACTAATTTGTTTGCTAAAATGTACAAAGTGTAAAAAATTTTGAGAGTTGGTGTGTGTGCTTGATTTGTGGAATACCCCTGAGCACCCAGGCTTGCCAACTCAGTCTCTCTCAAGTGTGTCATTATTGACTAGTTGGACACTGGGTGATGAGAATGAATTTTGTGGACAGCAAAACCATCCATGTTATTGAATTGCATCCCATGCAATTCTGCAGTGGGCAGTAATTCCTGAACATCCGTAAAAGTACCTGCTGTGGCCAGAAGTCAGAAATACACCCAACATCATAAATCCTATTGTATAAAAATCCCAGTGATAAAAGCATGGCTTATGCTACCAAGAAAGCAAGCCCATCACCATTGTCTTGAGGTGTCCCAGTGCCTTGGAGGCATATACCCCAGCAAGGAGCTCATACTCACAAATCACATGCCTTTCTCCTTTCTTTCTTGAAATCTGAATTCTGAACAACACTGACTGAATAATGCTATGCAGTTGATCAGTGAATATGAGCATGTGAAGAACTTTTGAGAAATAGTAATTTGATAATCTGTACTAAGAGAAAACCATTTTAAACGATGTTTAGAATACTCAGTTTTCCATTCTGGTACTTGAATAATTATGAGTAAAATGCTTTCCCGTAGAAGTAACAGTACAACTATTGACTCATAATTCTGAGGGGTTTTTTCTTCTATGATTTTTGTGTGGCAAGTGTGAAGGTGCTCTTTAAGTGATTTGTATTTTGCCTTAGCCTGGAGCTGCTGCACGCCTATCTCCCATGTGGCTTCAAAGACTTGGTTTGTAGCATTGCAGATGTAAAGATGATGTATTTGGTCATTATGTGCTCTATTTGTCCTGGCTCTAATAGTGGCTTTTCTGGTTCAAGAAAGGCAATGCAAGCAACATCTGCGGCTTTGTAGCAGTTTTGCAGCAGCTTCAATCTTCATAAGTGTGTCAGATTCTTTCAGTGAATAAGTACTTCACAGCACTGTTTTCTCCTTGGTGGATTTGCTTTATATGTGATATGTTCCTTAGGAACAAGTCTGTTTCTTTTGTGTGATAGATCACAGTGAGGATTTGTGTCTTTTCCATGTATCTTTTGGAGTAAGGAATGAGACCCATTAAAAGCCAGTGTTGATGTCAACAAGCCTCACTGGTGACAAATACACATGTGTAATATCCTTGAACTGGCTGTACTAATACATAGGGTTTTTTTTGTTTTGTTTTGTTTTGTTTTTTTGTTGCAATTTTCCAAGGTGAGCTTGTACATTAAAATATACTAGAGTTGTCTTTCTCTGAAGAAGGCATCTAGGATTTGTCTCTGGTTCTTTGTCTGGTGTGTGAAATATGCTACTTAGATAATTAACCTAGACTTCTGTGATGATAGGTGTCATGTGTAGAAATAGTATTTATATGGTAATTGTCTGGTGATGATTGTAGGTGGTCAGGAAGGGCTGATATTTCTGGTGGTGCTAGTTAATTCCTGGAAAGAAGCCTCTTTCCTGTAGCTCCATACCTATTGCAACCTTCACCTGTAGTTCAGAAGGACAGTGTGTCCCAATACAGGTGTGGTGTTTTTCCCTTTCTCTGAAGTTTTGTCAACACTTCAGTTTTAAAGCACTTATTAAATAATCTCAGTTAGGATGCAATTTTTCATATTATGGGATTAAAATCTGTGTATTACATCTAATGTATTTCTGTAATAATTGGCTTTTGTGGCCTTTCAGCCACAAAAGACGGGCAAACAGTAAAAGTCTTAAGCATTCCTGGATAAACATTTCAAATTAGAATAGTTTGTGTCACTGTGACTAAAACTCATAATTTTTCTGTGTGCCTGTAGAGTTTAGGACACTGCAGAATATCCCTGATATCTGCAGTGTGGAGCATGGGTAGTTTTAAATGCTCTTCTACCTTAACAGTCTTCAGGAGGGAGGATAATGGAAGTGTGGTTCCTGAGTCCTGGCTTCTTTCCAGGGGCTTTCAGGCAAAGCAGAGTGGCAGTAGTCACGGAGGCTTTTGTGTTGGGAAAGCTTTTACTGATTGCATGGGTCACACCAGCACCTTTTCTGGGATGGTAGACCCCTAACTGGTGTAAGTGAAGAGTGAGATTTGGTTGCTGTCAGTTTGCTTTTAATATGTGACTTAGTGGGCTCTGACTACTCCCAAGTTTTGAATTACTGCTCTTGTATTTGACATGAGTGTGCCAGATTTGACAGGTAGGAAATTACTAAGATTCCTTTTAGAAATGAAATTATGAATCATGGGTTTCTGCTGATAATGGAAACATGCTAAACCAAACAAAGATGGGAACTTTTAAAGAACATCCCACATTCCTCTAATTTCTGCCTCTTATTTCTCTTTTCTTTTCAAGCATAATAAAAATATTATGAGGGCTTTTTTTTTTCTTTCTTTTTTTTTTTTCCTGACATGATATTGTATTATTTTTTCCAAATGCTAGATAAGAGCTGTTTGGATATTTGCAGATCCACAAGCTACTACCCTTATTATATTGAAAAAACAGCTCAAAGAGAGCTACTTTAACTTTCTTACATTATTAAAATGCCATTAAATAGATACAGGCCTGTAGGGACAATACTGCATAATGTAGGTGTTGTTTCTGTCCTGGTTTTTAGTTGTAGAATGTCACTTTGGTTTTACATCTTAATAACCTTCCCATTCTTAGTAATCCACAGAGAGAAATGTAATTGCATGCAATTTTTGTTTCTCTTGGAGCAGTAGTTAATAATTTGGGGTATGGGTTTGGTGGTGGCTTTTTCTTGTAGGGGAACTGTGAGTTAATTGCTCAATTGCAGTGAACTGTATGAAGAGGAAAAGTATGGACCTGATGACAAATTCCTCTGTTCTTCACTTTCTCATGTGCTGCTTTGAGCTCCCCACTTTCACTAAATCTATTCTACTGGAAGTGGCCACTGCACTTTATAATTTCCAAGCAAACAAAAGGAGATTAGTCTCCTGGGTGGTCAGTGACAGGCATTTCACTTACCACTTCTCTTGTCAGGGTGTTCCAGCAGGTCCATATGATGGCTAAATAGAGATGGTGCTGTGTACATAGCAGGTAGATCAAGGAGAATTGAACTGACAGCTGTAGACTACCTAGAAAATTCTATTTATACCTTCTTCATGGTTCCAGATTTGTGATTACTGTTTGTCATCGTGTATTGCATCCAGGGCAGCATAAGGAATTGGAGCTTTTTCTACAGTTCTTTTTGTCTTTCATTATTTTCAGCTTCAAAATTGTAGCGAGAGAGACATCAACGTAACTGATCCTATATTGGAACTTCCTTCTGTGGCAGACTTTCACAAGACATTATTTGAGGTGACATTTTCCTTTTGATTTGTAAATAAACATCTTATCCCAATGTTGTGTAACAAAAAGTAGCAGTATTTTAGCTGATGATGTGAACCTAGAACATTCAGTGTCAGCAGGTTGGTTTTGCCATTTTATTTTATGCAGTAAAATTATAATTAGAGCTTTTAAAGGCAGCAGTAGTAACTTGTGCCTCTTTGGAACAGATAATATATTTATATTTGGAAGATTTTCAAGAAAGTGGTAGCTCAAGTCTTTGGCTCAATTCCATTTGATTGAATGTACTGTTATTGGAATTTTTAGTCATAATTTAGGTGATGAGTCATTTCTGATTAGACAAAGAGCAAAGAATCAATCTATAAAGAAACCCAAGATTTGGAATGAGAATGACAGTCACAACAGAATAAAATAAGGAAATGTTGGAAACCTGGCTATCAAATCCTGTAGCATCTCCATTTAGTATGCTTTTATTTGTCTAGTGAATGAGGTAATAAAGAAAACCCTTGAATCTGTCTCCAATTAATGAAAGCTACTATCAGTATGGTAATAGAATAAATGCTTTAATGAACAATTCTTAAACTAGTTCTTTTTGTATAACCAACAGTAGTTCACTTAATGCAGTAAAATATATGATAGGCTTTTTTCTGCTAGATTCTTTTGAACTGTTAACTTTCAGTTTACTTCCCTTGGGATTGTGAGGTGATGGTTGCCACACAAATATATAGAGGTGGTAGCAGAAGAAGGTAGCAGAAATGGAGTGACAGCCTTTTTGCTCTGATGCATAGACCGTACAAATGTGAAGCCTTTGTGGTTTCTTTGATGTAAAAGTCACAGAAAAAGGCCTTATTACTTGTCCTTTATCCTGGTGTGAGGATTTACAGAGCAGCTCATCAACATCAGTGCCATTGTCCTTTTTGTGCAAGGTAGAGTTACAATCTACATTCCCTGTTATTGGCCTTGCCAGCATTCACAAGCCATTTGAAAATCAGTCATTTTTTTCTTTGAAAAGTGACTTACTGAAATACCAGCTCCAGTTTGGTGAAGCCCTCAGAGCAACTGGAGATGGAAGAGGAGAAAGTAAGATACATGTGATGGAAAAATGTATGTCATTTCCTAAAGGACTTGAGAAAACATGCAAATACTTTAATCAAGTGAAACAATATTAGACTTATACATATATACCAGGTACTTGCTTTTGCTTAATGTTTTAAAGTCAAGGGAGGTAGCTGAATATTTGCTATATACACACAGAAAAATGAAAACTGGGAATATTTTACTTGATGTTTCTTTCACTTGTGCTTTCTTATGCATCTTCCCCATTTAGATGACAGACTGGGTTAGTAATTTTATTTGTCTGAATCAAATTTCAAAGAAAATGTGTAAATAGTTTATAATGCATCCCTTCTCTTACTATCTTCTGTGTTATATAGTGCTGCAATTGTGAATATTGCAGTCTTAATCTTACACTGAAGGTGCTGGATAATCCTTTTACTGGATTTTTGTCTCCCAGCTGAAGCTATCATTACCTCATCTTAGAAGGACCAAAAAAAAAAAAAAAAACCAAAACCAAAAAAATCCATCTAGGAACTTTTATTTCTATTTGTTACTGCTTTATGATTTTGCTGCTTCCTCCTCAATGTAGGCAGGAGATGTCTGTGTTAGAAGTAGCATCTCAAGAACATGGTCTATCCTGTCAGCACTTCATCATTCAGTTTTGCTATGCTAACACTAAAGGAGGACTCAACACAATGTTGATCCTCTGGGTATCTCTGGCTTTGATTATAAATTGCCTTTCCTCAAGCGTTTACTATCCTTGATAGTGCTGGATTCAGATTTCTGTACAAGTTGGAAAGCTGTCTCTCCCAAAATGTTTATGACCACTGAAAGCTTACCTGATTCCTTTCCCTACAGCAGTTCATTACTATGCAAATGCTTTTGCATAGTTGCTGTTGCTCTCCACCTTCTTGCTGTGCCATATCTTTGTACTCTTAAGTTATCTTTGTCTAATGGATGTGATTAACGAAGCTGATAGCATTAGCAGGTAAAATGAATATTGTTGTGATCTCTGTGACATCCTTAGCCTTTGATTTTTTTTTTTTTTGGCATGTGGATTAATGCAGTGTATGGCAAATATTATGGTGTTGGCACTTGGCTATCATGGGCTCCTAGGGGTAACCACTGCAAACTGAAATAGTTTGTTTAAGCAAAAACCATCAACATTAACTTTGTTAATTGATATAAAAGTTATTTATATATGACTTCTGTTTTGGATTCATTATGACAAGTTAGAAATCATCATTATAAGTAATGAAAGAGGATTTTTATTTAAACCTCTTCATGAAAATATGGTCTGGAAAAGGAGGCTTATCTTCTTTATAAATATGGTTTTGGGAGTTAGCTCCTGCTGTGATGTTCTCTGGAAGCAGAACTTGACTTAACACCTTGTGCCACAAACAGCATTTTAAACAGGGCAGCATTTTATTGTGAGAAGAAACAAGTTTTTTGCAGATCACATTGACAAACACAATCTGTTAATGGTTTGCTTGTGTAAAGAACAACACTTAAAAAGCAGGCAAAAATAGTTCTAAAAAAACCTAAATAGGCCACAGCAGAGTCATATCCAGCTATAATTTACCAAACATTGGCAAAATCTTTTTCGCTTCAGCATTGCCATGTGGAGAACTCTGTTGTACATTCTGTTTTTACATCTCTGTGCTGCAGCAGCCAGACTTTATTTATAAACAGTCAATTAGCTCTATCATCTCTAATTTATGGAATATATTATGTCAGAGAAATACCCATCTGAAATTTGATACCATTATTCTAGAAAACACTCAGATACAAAGGATCTACATAAGTTAATATTCCATAAGTCTTCTCCCTGCTTCTTCAAAGTGAAACTGTAAATTTGTAGATACCAGTTGTAATGTAAAAGGTTCCTACAAAGGCCTTTCCAGTAAAGGATAAATAATCTCAGATGTTTGGAATTATTGATCATTTTTATTTTTGGAATGTACTAGCTGCACAGATTTTTAATCTCTAATTGGTCATAATTAAGAGATCTTTCTTCCATTGAGGCCTGTGATATATATTAATGGAACTATTGAATTATTAGTAATAGCTGCTGTGGCACAACACACACAGCTGTGTTGGTTTAGCTGTGTGTGTAGCTTTTCAGTGCAAACTAGATAGGTAGTGGAGAGTAAATGGAATCACTGTACTAGGCAGGATTTCAGAAAGCAAGGGATGAATGTGGGGCAAAATGTTCTGCATTATCCGCTATGAAACATTAAGTGAAGATTGAGGCAGAGGTACCACAGGAAAAGTGACATCTGTGCAAAGCAGACCCTCTGTGAACTTTTTAGTGGGATTTTATTGCAGCAGTGGAAACACAAATACCAGTGATTTATGTCATTTTGAAACCAGGTTTGTGTGAGTACTGGATAAATAGGGTGACATTCTTTTAATGACATATTTTCAGCAGTTGCTGTACGATAATAGAAAATTATGTGTTTCTGTTTGGTTTGTTTATTTTTTTTTTCCATTTCTCTATTAACACAAACTCAAAATACTTCACATTGTTTCTAGGAAGCCACTGCCTTACATGGTCCCATTAATACTTTCAGATTGTAAAAGCTTCTGATGGCAAACTTGAGAACTGTTACAATGGTATTTTATTGCTTTTTTTGGTTTTTTAAAGACAGAATGCTGCAACCTGCCAGGCTCTTTGCTGGGAGTGCTTGGCACTTATGCAGCCATGTCTCTGGATGTTGTTGTACAAACTATCCTGTGGGTACAGCACTACAAACATTTCATCTCGATGGTTTGAGGCAGCTGGTGCATGCTAATTCAATGATTTTTCTTTGGTGCTTAATCCACTGCTTAAGAATGTTATACCTCTGAAATACTTTTCACTTTTCATTACAAACCCATCACAAAAGAAGCAACCATCCTTCTCTTGAGCGGGCTACTCCAAATGTCAGGAATTCCTAAGGAAGGTTAAAATACTGCAAAGTCATACTGACTTCATTGCATCTGCAGTTACAGTCTGTTTGCAGTTGCTCACTGTTCTAAGTGCAGAGGTCCAATTTATAGCTATTTGCTTACTAAATTTAGATTGGACAAAATTAGAATTTATCATTACACATCTGTTCAGGAGGTAAATATTTCATAACCTCATTATAACATGATTATTACATGATACCATGCAGAAGACAGAGGTGCTGCAGCATGGCCATCTGATGCAGGGATACCATAAGGAAGTGAGGATGTGACAGTCCCTGTTGACATCTGATTCTGGTACTTAATCCTCCCACCCCTCTGGAATTTGGAGGCTCTTTGAGTGCAGTGAACTCTGAGTCTCTGCTTTCCTAGATGGAAAACAACTGTGCTTGGCTAAATTTAATTGAGTTAAAAGTACACAGGGATCATTTTGCTATTCTGATTTCTATTTCAGGTATGATGAAATGATAATTAAAAAATTGCTAGAAAATTGTAATTGTTTTATGGGCTAGATATAGCAGAAGAACATATGGGAATTTACACACAGAGGTGAAACAATCCCAACACGTCTGCCATATCTGGGACTAACAGTGTCATCCAGAACATGAGGAGAGGGGCGAGTCCCCTCTGTTCAGGGCAGTGTGGTTGTTTGAAGAAACCACTTTCACTGAAATGCTCATTTTCTTGTGTGGTCTTCTGGATGAAGACCACCTCTTCAGAGAAGAGTGGTCAGACAAACAACTGAAGACAAGTAAATAAACTAATATTTAATTTCAACTTTTGACTTTAGAAAAATATTCCAAGATTTATGAAGTATTTTAGTGCTTTCCTGCTTTTTTCCTTTTCTGTAAGAAGTGTGTATATAAAAATTGCATAATGAAAAATTAGCCATAATCCATGTTCCAACAGTCACAATTTCTATAATTTATAATATATAATTATAACTAACTATCCACTGCTATTACCATTTTGTTGATTAAGAGATGATAGTGCTTCCATTGCAACAG